CGTAATCATCAAGCTCATTGGGAGACATACGATAGATGGGGCCCTTGGGAATTCGGCTACCGGGTTCTATGTCTATCCCGTGCTTGGTCTCCCTTTCCACAACTCCACATCAGTGAGCTCGTCTAAAAGACTTCGTACTTCGGGCGGTATGGGCAATTTCTTATTTGTTCAACTGCATGGCCTACCAGACTCCTCAACGAACCATTAGTTTAGGGTCATCATCTTGCTGTCCTAAATACACTACCAGTCCGTTTCACAGCTATTTGTTCAAATGCATGGCCTACCAGACAAAAATTGCCGGTGGCGCCAGGCAAAAAGAAAATAGGAGTAACTTCAGTACAGTCACAAAAACAGTTTAAATTAGACTTCGCGCATTCCCTCGAACATAACACCCCCCCACGCAACCCTACCTGACCTGAAAGCTAGGTTGTATACATTGCCCGAAGTGCAATTTGAAACTGTTTTTTGCCCAAACTCCCATGTAGTTTCCCCAAGGAAATATTGTGCGCCTGCATTGACTACTTTTGTTGTTGTTTTATGTGCAGAAGCAATCTGGGTTGGAAATTGGTGTTTTGATCGCACTCTCACTGCCACAACCCATCATCGATTAGGTCAGGGAGACAACACTGAGCTGGCCGCTGTGTGCCCAACAGCATGTATAGGATGACGAAGCTATCCAGCAGTGTGTTACATGCTGCGCCTGCAACAGGCTGCATGGGCCATTTTCAGGCCCGTGTCGTTTTCAGCCTGAAAGCCTGAAAACAAGGGCCTACAGGCCCTGTGTCGTTTCAGCCTGAAAGCCTGAAAACAAGGGCCTACAGGCCCTGTGTTGTTTCAGCCTAAAATAGGGCCTTTCCGGCCCTGAGTCTTTTCAGCCTGAAAATGGAGGGCCATTTTCAGGCCCTCATGAGATCGACCTGCCCTGAAACTCAGGCACCAGACCAGGGTTTTAGCACAGGCCATTTTGGGCCTGTTTTCAAGACAACCCTTGGTTGAGATTCAACACCAGGGTCTGGCACGTTTTGACATTGGCAAGAGCAGCCTCCTGGACGGGCCAGCACTATATAGGACTGGCCCACCCTGCAGGCTGCAGGTAGCGTCATAGGGACTTCCCAGGCACTTCACGTGCAGTTCAGGAGGCAGGAGGTAGTCTTCACGATTCGGCAGCAGCACTCTGGAGGAGCGCTGCAGTAGTAGTAGTAGCGTTAGCAGTAGTCTTCGGCGCTGGGCGCTAGTAGGAGCTAGAGTAGTACTGGAGGGAGAGAGAGATTGGGCGGAGGCCAGGGAGACTTACCTGCAGCGCCATAGCTCGAGCTTCGTCTTCGAGGTACCTGCAGCACAGCGCCATAGCTCGAGCTTCGTCTTCGAGGTACCTGCAGCACAGCGCCATCTTCACAGGTTAGTACCTGGCACATGAGAGAGAGAGAGAGAGAGAGAGAGAGAGA